TTAAATACAATAAAACTTTATTTAAAAATGTAAAAAACATTCTTAGCTGGTAATGTACAAAAACAGGCACTGGCCAGATTTGGCCCATGGGAAATAGTTTGCTGACCCCTGATTTATTCTAACCCTCTTATTTTACAGATGAGGAAACTGAGTCTCAGAGAGGTAGAGTGACTTGTCCATGATCATACAGGTAGCAAGCAGCAGAGCCAGGATTTGAACCCAGGTCCTTCGACTCCTTATCCAGCTACCCCACACTCTTGCCCAAGGTCACACAGCTAGTAAATAGTAGAGCTGGGATGGAAACACGATTCTGCTGACTCCAAATTACCTGCTCTTTCCACTAGCCCTCCTCTATTCCAACCCATAGTCCAAGTAGGAATCCTCTCTGTGACATCCCTGACAAATGCTCATTCAGCCTCTGCTTGCAGACTTCAGGGACGGGGAACTCACTACCCTTCTAGGCAGCCCATTCCATTTTGGGACAGCTTCAGCTGAGAAGTTTTTCCTTCTATGGAGCCTAAGTCTTTAACCCCACTGCTCCTGGTGCTTCCCCTTGGGGCTAAGCAGATTAATGGAACTCGAGAGTGACAGGGTCTAAACGAGGCCATCCTGAGCCGAGCCCAGAGCCCCAGCCTCCTGCCTCCCACTCTCCAAGGGGACTCAACGTAGAGCAGCTGTTTTTCTCAGGTTGCGATTGCTCCCATTTCCCAGAGGAGCAGCCTGAGGCCCTGAGCAAGGCATTCATTCCCCTGGGTGGTTCCCTGAGCCGGGCAGTGACCCCTTAGGGGTTTTGGGGCCTCATTCCCCTGTGCTGTTGACCAGCCTGTGGTCTTCGTCCTTTTTCTCCCTCCTAGGAAGCATCGTGAGCATTGGGGATCCCAAGAAGAAGTACACGAGATTTGAAAAAATTGGCCAAGGGTGAGTGAGTTCCTGCAATTACTGTAGGGAGTGCGTATGTGTGTATGGGGGGCTGGCTAAGCAGCAGCCCTACTTGGGGCCCACTTTGGTAAGGCTGCTCCCAGCAGCCCCCAGTCTAGTAGGGGCCTCTGGCAGCAGCAGGCCCGGTAATGGTAACACTGTGGTATTTCTTACCTAAGGAGGGTGCTGGAGAGGAAAGGATGATCTTTATGGTGGACTGGTGGTGGGAGAGGGGGAATAAGCAGAGAGGGCTTCCTGGAGGAGTTGTGGCATTGGAGTAGGGGTTTAAAAGATGGATGAGAAGTCAGCAGGTAAAGGACAGGAGGGTAGACATTTTAGTCCTGAGCAGTGGTGTGGGCCAAAACTTGGAGGCAGGAGGGCATAGGGTATGTGCACACAGAACTTACTTAGGAGACAGTTTGGGGGCAAAGCAGGGGATTGGTCTCAGCATCCCTGCAGGGTTGGGATCTGGTGGTTGTCTGAGTCCCAGACATCAGAGCATATGCTGAGAACCTCTAGAGCCAGTAGCGCCTGGGCTGGGTGGATACCCCCCAGGCTTGGCACTTACTAGCCGGGAGACCCTGGGCAGGTCCCTTCACCACCATGGACCCATTGCTCAGTAGCTTGACTTCCTGACCTCCAAGGTCCCTTCCACCCTAAATCCTGAGCTGCTTTCAGACTGGCCACACTGGTGGCCGGCCCCCCTCCCTGTGGCCAACAACTGACCAGGCCCCAACCACTTTGTGCTAGTGGCCAGCCACTCTTCTTGGCTTGCCCTCTGCTGCCTCCTGGGGCCCCTGGGTGGGGAGTGAACTCTCCACCGCTGAAGCTAGCCATGCTTCAGGGTCTAGTATAGATGTACCCTCCTTTCCTCAGGTGAAAGGCATCAGTACTCCTCACATCAGCTCCCCTCCCCTTGCCATGTAATTCCTGTCTGTGTCCCTCCCTCCTCCCAAGCAGACAGAGTGAGGGTATGGAAAGTCAGTGGTATTGCCCTGAGAATGGGCTGACTCAGCCGGCAGTCAATTCAGTTCAATCCAACAAGCATTCATTAAGTACCTACTATGTGCCAAGCTCTATCCCAGGCACTGGGCACAGAAAGACAAAAAACAAACAAAATCATCTCTACCTTCAAAGAAATTACACTCTCTCTGGGAATAACACCATATACACAGGGCATATACACATATATCACTCCAAGATGTCTACAAAGTAAGTCCAGCATGAATTCCGAGCAGGGTAGCTCCAACCATGGGAGAGATAAAGGAAGTGGGTCCTGATCTGGGCCTTCAAGGAAGCTGGGGGTTCCAAGGTGCTCGGAGAGACAACATTCCAGGTCTGGGAAAAGGTGTGCAGGCAGGAGATGGAATATTGGGTCTGGGAAGTGCAGATGACTTGCTGGGTTGACTGGAGAATTGAAAACGTCGGGGGTAGCAATGTGGGATCAGCCCGGAAAGCGTGGTCGGAGCCAGCCAGAGGACTTTGCAGTAGGGAGCCCCTGAAACTTCTTGAGGAGAGGAACATTTCAGTCAGACTTGGGCTTTGGCAGCTGCGAGGAGGACAGAATAGAGGGGAGAGAAGCCCTTGGAGTAGTCTAGGGAGAGGTGCTGAGGTGACTGTGAGCAGAGAGAAGAGGATGGACGGATGAGATAACCTAGAGGGAGACTCCCAGGTGCTAGAATCAGAGCCTGAAACCTGAGGCATCCCATGTGTGACCTTGGTTGGCCGTCCTGGGCCTCAGTTCCCTCCCTTAGAAAATGGCACTTTCCGAGGTCCCTTCCAGCCCAGGATCGCTGGTCTTGTGAGCCGGCAACTGATTAGATGTGGGGGAGTGAGGGAGAAGGAAGAATGTGCACCCCAAGGGTGTGAACCCAAATGACAGCGGTGTCTGGGGCTGCTGGGAGGCACCCATGAGAGAAGAGAAAGTGAGTGCTTTGTGAATGCCAGCTGTCACTGTTACTGGGGCCCCCCAATGGTCAGGCCTCCTGAGCCCTGGCAGTGTGGAGAGAGCACCCTCTTGAGCAGGGGGGCTGGCACACACCCTGTTAACATGTTCGGAAATGGAGATAACTGACAAAGCAGTAAGGCCAACCCTGCGTTGGAGAGATTGCAGAGGGGAAAGTGGCCACCCAGAAAAGCGAATGCAGTCCAGTGATGCCCATCTTGCCAGCCAGAGGGATGTTAGGAGGCCAGATGGGTTTAGAGGCAAAGAGAGTAAGTTCTGATTGAATACTGTACGCAGCAGATGAGAGAAAGCTTAGATAAGATGAGGAGCCTGGTGTGAGAACTTCCTCCGGGGGGGGGGGGGGGGGAATGAAGGGTGGAGGTAACAAGGTTGGAGGAGCCACGGTCCCAGAGGAGAAAGGAGGACTTTGGAGTAGGGCTTTGCACCGAGCACTGTCAATCCCTCCTTTTCCTTCCAAGGGGCAGAAAGGCAAACAATTGGGCCCCGTCACTGAACTCTTTTCTTCATTCTCCCCACCCCCCAGGGCATCAGGTACTGTCTATACTGCATTGGATATCGCCACAGGACAAGAGGTAAGTGCTACCTTCTAACCAGTCTGCAGGGAGCCCAGGCCCACCTGGCCTCAGGCCCCTGTGACAGCCCTCTCTCCAGAGATGTTGGGATTGTTTTGGAGGCTGGTGGGGAGGGGGGCCCTCCTGGATCACATTCATGCTTGGGTCTCCAATGTCCTCTCAGGTGGCCATAAAGCAGATGAACCTGCAACAGCAGCCCAAGAAGGAATTAATTATTAACGAGATTCTGGTCATGAGGGAAAATAAGAACCCCAACATTGTGAATTATTTAGACAGGTAAGCACCTCTCTGCTGGGGGCAGTGGTGGTGTGCCGGTGGGCCTGGTGACTGGCCTAACCATAGGCACCCTTTCTACAGAGCCTCCAGCAAGCCTCCCAACACCCTTCCCAGCAAGGGCTGTGGGTGCTGTTGGCCTTATTATACGGTGAGAAACATTGAAGCTCCAATAGGTGATGTTACTTGCCGCAGGGCATCACAGCTAGTAGTAACTACTGGGGGCAGGCTTTGAACCCAGCTCGTGGTGACTGCGAGCTCGGCCCTCCAGCCCCCGTGCTATGGAGGCTCCCATTTTGGCCTTCTCCAATTCGGTGGACAGCCAGCTGCCTGCCCCACGTGTGGAGAGTGAGGTCTTGGCCCCAAACCCAGACCCTTAGGGGAGTTTTCTCAGAATAATGAGATTGCTTAGACACCGGGGTGCTTCTCTGCACACCTGGCTTTGTGGTCACGGACTCTCTCTGAGTTGGTCGTGAGTTCTAGGCCTGGGAGATGGGTAGCCCCAGAGAAGGGCACAGGGGGAGGGAAACTAGTCCAGGGGAAGGCTCCATGTCCCAGGCAAGCACATGATCCATAGGTTAGGTTGAGGCTTGGCCCCTGTTCCTACCAGGCTAATGGTAGCGTGGACCATGACAGGAGAGGGCCAAAGTGGGCTTTGCTTTTGTGAGCCAGGTAAGTTCCTGGCTGGGAACCACTTCAAGATAATGGTTGTGGGGCAGCTGACCTCTAGCAGCCAGGTGCACCACATGCTGCCCATGACTCATGAGCCTGATGCCCACTAGTTAGCTCAGCCTTCCCTGAGAAGAGCATTTGGGAGAATCTGGAGGGAAACAGAGTCGGGCCTGTCTGTGTCAAGCTGGGTCCGGTCTTGGCTCCGCCCGTCATTGGCCATGGGCCCTTGGAACAGTTCCTTCTTCCTCCTGGGCTTCAGTTACCTTCTTTGTAAGCTGACGGGGTCTTGGATTAGGTTCATCATGCAGGCGCCAGCTTAGAGTGGGGAGGACCGCAGACACCAATGAGGCCAAACCTTTCCTATGACACAGAGGAAATGGAGGCCCTGAGCTTCTGAGACTCCTGGGACACCAAGAGAAGAGAGAAAGGCTCAGAATATTCTGAGGCAGTCTGGGCCCTTGTGCCCCAGCAGGGCCCGGGACACGTACCTCACTCACCCTGGGGACAAACACACCTGGAAACCCAGACTCAGCCATAGCTGTGCACTTATATCCAGGCCCTGCCTGTGTCTCGAACTCTCCCTCATGATGATGCAGTCAGTCTGCTAGTTTAAAGAAACCTGGCTGCCTCCGGGCCCTGTGAGAGAAGAGAGGCGAGCGCCTGCCTCGGCCTCCCGGATTTTGGTAACGGCAGGGAAGGGGTCTGCCCCTGCCCATTCAGTCACATTGGTTTGAAACCAGATCTTTGGACTGTAGACCCAATACTTCCACTAGGCCCCATGCTACTCTCTAGATGGTCTCAGAGGAGTCTTCCTTCCAGCTCTGAGGGGCATGATTCTTTGTAATCTGGCCTGTGAAGAATTCAGATTAAGCTGGAATTATCCAGGTGGGCAGTCTCCACTGCCAGGGTTCACTGCCTGTTCCCAGAGGCTCATTGCCCTTCCGCTGCCCTGAACACTGGCCTTCCCATCTTCCCATTTTCTCCTCTCTCTCATGTCTTTTCCAGAGGGCACCCATTGGGCCTTGGGGCCACCTTGGTTTCCAGCTTGTCCTTAGCATCATTCTAGAGTATAAAACATGGATTGTCAAAGTGGAAAAGGACCTTCGAGGTCCTTTGGTCCCTTTTACAGATGAGGAAACTCAGGCCAGAGAAATGAAGTGTCTTGCCTGAGGTCCCACAGATACTAAATAGCAGATTCTCGATTTCAATCCACGTCCTTGGAGTCTTAATCCAGTTGTGCTGGATTTGTGGTGGGGCCCTCCCTTAGCCCCGTCCCTTCCTTTGCTCCTCACAGCTACTTGGTGGGCGATGAGCTGTGGGTAGTGATGGAGTACCTGGCTGGGGGTTCTCTCACTGATGTCGTCACGGAGACTTGTATGGATGAAGGCCAGATAGCAGCTGTCTGCAGAGAGGTGAGAGGTTAAGACATGCCCCCAGGATAGGAGAGTCCTTCGAGGGACTCGTAGGCTGACGGACCGACCGCGGCCGCCAGAACGGGCAGTCTCCTCCAGGGTATCCTTCCCATCGTTTCCAGGCCCAACCCCCACCTCTCCCCAGGGTCGGGGTTGGAGGCCTCCTGCAGGGCTTTTTGGGTCCCAGGGGCGTCCCCGGCGGGGATTGTGTTGGGCACCCTTTAACTAACAGTGTTTTTGCTTCAGTGTCTCCAGGCTTTGGATTTCTTGCATTCAAACCAAGTCATCCACAGAGACATTAAGAGTGACAACATTCTTCTCGGGATGGATGGCTCAGTCAAGCTGAGTAGGTGCCCAGGGGGTGTGGGTGGGCTGTCGGGGAGCTCCTGCCGTTGTCGAGAAGCCGCTGGAAAGCGGGAGGGGCCAGAGCGGAGAAGCTGGCAGATCTGGGGCCTTGGCGAGGGCATCGAGGCATTCCATTTCCACGCACCCCACTCTAAGCCAGCTGGTTCCATTCACTTCCATTCAGGAGGCACCTCCGGTGTGCCAGGTGTGCAGATACAGAGACAAAAATGGAACAGAATGGAAGCTTGTGGTGCAGACTGCTAAGCGTAGGGCTGGCCAGCTTCCGTAGCTCTATATGGTTCCGTAGCAGGAGTCTGGCTTCCCAGGCTATCCCACCTAGTTCATGCCCGCAGAGTAGCTTAACAAATAGGGTGACCAAATCCTTTCAGTCTTGGCTGAGCCGTGATTGAGTCTACGGTACTTACTGGGACAAATTTTCATCCTCAAAACTGGCTTGGAATCATGGAATTTCCCCGCCACTCTTATTTGAGCTTGGGCACTCCAGGGCCAAGGAGACCCCTTGGGCAGCTCCCCTTGTGCAGGGCTCTACTTCAAGAAAGTTGGGGGTCATCCTGAGTTCCCTTTGGCCAGGTGACCTCAGAGGTGGCCCTGAGTGGCACAGAACCTGGGATCTTGCCTTTTCGGAGAGGATCCTGAATCCCCAGAGGAGGCCGACTTGTGTGAGGAGCAGAGGAGAAGGGGAGCTGTGGATCTAGGATCCCTTAGCCTTCTCTTTTCCTGGCCTCAGTTTCCTCATCTGTAAATGGGGATGATTGTACTTCCACCTCCCAGTGAGGTAGAGGAAACTCTCGGATGAGGAACCTTCCCCTCCCAAGGAAGGGTGGCACGGCCACGGATGTGCTTTGTGGCCTAGCCTCTTGAGGATTGTTGGTATTGAGTTCATTCCTCTGGCTCTCAGCAGGCTACTCCAGGACCTGCTCAGAAGACACTGGGCACTTGCCCTGTCTTGGCAGAAGCCACTACCAGGCTTGGGACCATCCAGACTCCATGAGGATCCCAAGAAAAGGGACATGGCAGGCCAGAGGCTGCCAGCTCACTGCTCCTTCCCAGTCACTGACAGCCAAGGGACTCCCCTTTTGGTGCAAACTTGCCTCCCCTGGCTTTGTCTGCTCAAGGATCCAGTTTGGAGAGTGAGAGTGACAGGGACTGGGCCTGTGATTTTTCTGGTAGAGGGCACTCCCAGGTGAGGGAAGTCCCTCTACCAATGCAGGTGGGCACTTACTCTGGAGCACTAAGAGACATCAAGTCATTTGCCCAGAGTCACCCAGTCAGTGTGTGTCAGAGGTGGGATTTGAACCCCCACCTCTTATTGGCTTTTTAACTGCTGGGCCACAGGGCTTCTCTTGGGTAGAGGATCATTAAGAACAGCCTCCACCCAAGCCCAGGGTGAGCTGCTTTTCCTGTGCGCTGCCTGCTGAGGCAGTCCCATCATGCTCTGGAAGTGTTCCTTTGGGGGGGGGTAGGGGGGCGAGGGACACATTTCACGGCCAGGCCTGGATCTAACACTGTCCTTCTCTCTGCAGCCGACTTTGGGTTCTGTGCCCAGATCACCCCTGAACAAAGCAAAAGGAGTACCATGGTGGGGACCCCCTACTGGATGGCCCCTGAAGTGGTGACAAGGAAGGCCTATGGCCCTAAAGTAGATATCTGGTCCCTTGGGATCATGGCCATAGAAATGGTGGAGGGCGAGCCCCCATACCTGAATGAAAATCCACTCCGGGTAAGTGGGATAAGGATTCCCCTGTTCTGCCATCCTGCTCACGGCTCAAGACTTGGTTGGGGCCAAAGTTGCCTCAGGCTGGTTCTCCCCGAACAGTTAGTATGCAAGGGCTCCCTCCAGCTTTTCCTGAGCAGTGAGTGGCATCTCCTCAGCCTGGGCTTGCAGGCACTCAATGCTGGCCAGCCCGGGCTTGCCTGGCGACGCACTTGACATTGGTGAGGGGTCATTCCTTGACTCCATGCATTTCAGGTCCAGAAGGTACCTCAGAGCTAGTAAATCTACTTTTCCAGGCCTCCCACCAACTGCCTGTGGAACCATGGCCCAGTTCTTTGCCTTCTCTTGGCCTCAGTGTCCTCCTCTGCTAAGCTGAGTGGACCGGATGAGATGGCCTCTAAGGGCCTGGGCGGCTCCGCCAGTCTGGAGTCTGGGCCCAGTGGCGGCAGGTGGCTCTCGTGTCCAAGGGGCTGGCCAACTCCTGGGGGAGGGGGAGCTTTTGCAGCCAGAGCAGCTAGAGCTTGGAGAGGCTGTAGCAGGGAAGGCTTACGGCAGTGGAGCCTCAGCCCCACGAACATTTTGCAGGCACTGGCCTTAGCCAGGCTGGGCCAGGAGCCGAGAGAAAGCCCTCTCTGGGCCTGAGGGGTCACAGCCTCCTGCTCTGGGCTTGACCTCTGCCCAGAGATTCAGGCTCCCTGTCTGGGACTTTGCCTCGGTGTTTGTAAGCTCCTGTGCCCACAGGGAAGCAGCTCAGAGAGGCTCCCTCGAGGCCCTGTTCCCATGGCTTCCTCCTGAGTCAGAGGCCCTGTCTGTGTACTGTGGACAGACAGTTCCCTTTGATGTATGTTGGCTGCCTCCAACACCTCCCACCTCCAACGTGGGGACTGAAGCAGGGACAGGTAGGAGGGGTCCTATGCAGCAATGGGCCCCAGGAATGGGCTAGTCACTGGGGCTCAGTGCCCCACTGCCAACTGTTAAAGAGGAGAGGGCCAGGCCAGGCCCATTCCTGGGAATTAACTGGGTCTCACCTAGATCTGGCCAGGCAGGCCTGGAAGGGGAAGCCAGCCCTCCCAGGACATAGCAGCATGCTCTAGCAGGCTTCAGATGGGGGGTACAATTAGAGAGAAGGTGGGGGGGGGTGGGGAAGTGCAGAGGGAAGTGGTCTCACCTGTGGCCTGTCCTGCACGCTCCCCTCGGTCCTTCTAACGGCTGTGCTTTGGCTTGGATTCTGGCCCTGCTGTGGACCGCGTGACCTTCGACATAGTGCTTCCCTGAGCCTTAGTTTTGTCCTCTGTAGAAGGAGGGGCTTGGCTTAGCTGCCTTCTGAGGTCCCTTCCAGAGTCTTGATCCTAGGGTTCTGCCAGGTGAAGTAGAAAGGCCTTCTTGTTTGTGTTGCCAGCACCCGCCATGGTGGGTACTTGCTGAGCCAGCCAGCACTAGAGCCCGCCTCCGGTGCCCTTTGCCAGCTGTGGGCCCTTGGGCTAATCATATTGGGTCTTCTCCTGTGTAAAATGAGGAGAAAGAGCCTTCCCTTGGAGTCCTCATGGAGTTGGGTGTGAGCGCCCCTTGAGCTCAGGGAGGAGAGGCTCTCCTGCCTAATTGTCTCCTGTCTCTGCCCAGGCCTTGTACCTCATAGCAACTAATGGCACCCCGGAGCTCCAGAATCCTGAGAGACTTTCCCCTGTGTTCCGAGATTTCTTAAACCGCTGCCTGGAGATGGATGTGGACCGGCGAGGGTCTGCCAAGGAGCTTTTGCAGGTAAACCACGGAGAAGGACAATGAGAAAGATGGCAGGGCCCCTCGCCTGCCCTCTTGCTTGCTTGGGTCCCTGGGTATGCTCTCGGCAGATGCTTGTAGCTTGAAGGATTGCTCAGGGGAGGTTTTATTTGCAGAGTGGGGCCTTTCTTCTAGAAAAAGCTTTTGGCTCTTCGTGGAGCCAACATGGCAGCAAAGACCCAAGGACCTGCCTCTCTGTCCTTATTTGGCCTCTTCCTGCCCATGAGCCCTTGGACATGTCACTTGCCCTCACCGGGCAGGTCTCAGTTTCCTGCCCTGGAAAGGGAGGGAGTCAGCCTGCTTTTTCTCTAACAGCTTCAATGCCTTGTGCGATGTGGCCAGTTCTAAATGCCCTCATCCCATTTTGTAGGGGCTCAGTAGCCTCAGATTCGGTGTGGGTTTTCTCAGCTTGGTTTGTGACTAGAGCCGAAGGATGTGAGAGCCGGAACGCACGTTAGAGACGTTCCAAGTCCACCTCTCTGCCTCCCATTTCTGAGATGGGCAAATTGAAGTCCAGAAAGTATCAAAGGGTCCTAGGAGCACCACGTTAGCCTTAGCAATATCTTTAGTGCCCTGACTGGCCCAAGGTCACATGTGTAAAAAGGAAGGCTTTTGCTCCAGGCCCTCTGGCTTGAGAGCGGGTACTTTTCCCCCCAGGTACCACACTGTCCCCTCTTCAGAAGAGGAGGACCTTGAATGTGGCACTAGAGCCAGCCCAGGCCTCCTGCCCCCCAGTCACATCTTCCGTCGTCTTGGCTCCCTATTGTTTTTAATCTTCCCGAGGTGACTCACACAGGGCATCCCTGTGGACTCGGAGAAAGCACCCTGATGTCTGAGTTCACCTGTGGCAGTGAAGCCTTGCAGTGGCAAGGGGCGAAGTCTTTGTCTCAGAGGTTTTGAGACCCTGTGTCTTTAATTCCTCGGCTTTGGGGAGTGTAGTGAGACTCCTGTGTTCAGCTATCATAACTTCAGTACCAGTGCTGGGGGCCAGAGTTTTTTCAGCATCTCCCTGCTGGGATTCCGTGAGCACCTGAAGCTATCAGACTTTGCCACCAGCCAGCCCTTTGCTCTCTGGTGCCAACAGGCCATGGCCTGGGCCACGCTGAGCCCGCAGCCTCTGGTTGGTTAGTGAACAGGCCGAGTGAGAGGACAAAGCCTGTAGGCATTGCTAGAGCAGCATCCCTGGGCTCCCACAAAAGGCTTGGGAAGTCTCTCTCCGAAGTCATGCCCATGTGTCCAGCACGTAGTTTGGGGCCTAGTAACTGATAGCTTTGTCTATACCATCTCCCAGACCAGCCATTGCCTTCAATGGTGAGAGTGCATGGGTTGACTTCACAGCTTCTAGCCTGGGTGACAGGGTCAGAACCGAGGAGTGCAGGATAGGGGGTCAGTCCTATGTGTGTGTTTGCAGCAGCAGCAAGGGGAAACTGATGTCAGGTTTGTGACACATTGAGTCAGGGCAGCTGGGGGCTTTCCACGTGGAGATGTTGAGCCCAGAGATAGGGGACTGAAGCTGGAGAGAGAGATTTGGGAGCTGTCCATTTGGACGTGGAAAGAGGGTGGGGAGAGAAGAGCCAAGGCTCAATGGCTGTGCACAGTCGGGCTTGGGGTTAGGAGGCAAACCAGGCAGCGGAGAAGGGAGTTCTCAGCAGGGCCACAAGCTGCTGAGGCACCAGTGAGGCAGGAAGACAAGAAACTGGCTACCGGGTTTGGCAGTCAGGAGGGTGGCTCTTGGCCAAAGAGACTCTTCCCGGGTAAACTCAACTCAGCAGTCAGGGAAAGTCTGGGTATGACTGGTACAGGCCTCCACCTGAGGTCCCAGCTCTGTGGTGCTCAGTTCTGGGAAGGCATAGAAAAATGAAGAACATGAGATGACCCAGGGAGGCGGGTAGTGGAAAGATGCTGCCTTTGGGGTCAGAGGAGCCAGGCTCAAGTCATGGTGCTGTCTCCTACTACCTGCATGATCTTGGCCAAGTCCCTTCTCCTCTCTGGGCCTCAGTTTCCCCATCTGTTAAATGAAAGGATTGGAGCAGACAGCTCTCAGGCTCTGGTCCTGTGGTCTTGCGTCAGTTGGGGACCCAGTACTCTTCATTGATTAACAGGGCATCCCATAATGGTACACAGCAGAATGTTAACGTAGCCAAAAGGAGCAGAACGGGACCTAGCAGAATGGCCTATGGTGTTGAAGGGAATGACATCCCAATAATGCTCAATATTTTCTTTTTTTATTGCAGCATCCATTTTTAAAACTAGCCAAGCCTCTCTCCAGCCTGACTCCTCTGATCCTTGCCGCGAAAGAAGCGATTAAGAACAGCAGCCGCTAGTGAGGAGAGGGAGGGCCTTCACCCGCCTTGGCCCTGGCGCGTGTAGAGCCGGACCCCCCAAGACTGTAGGACCTCACTTTCTGTGCTGCAGCACAGACAGACAGACAGACAGACAGACAAACCTAATTTGGATGTCCCCAGTGTAAGGGGCATAAGGCCCGGGGGCTGAGCCTGCCTTCCTAGGAATGGAGCCTTTTCCCCTACTCCCTCGTCTCATATACCTTTGCTAGCTGGAGCCAGCTCAGGGCTGCATGGGGCTTTTGAGTAGCGGGGCTATGGGGGAAGTGGCTCCTGGCTGTTTCCACCAGCTGCCCCAGTAGCCAGGAGCAGCCCTCTACCATGGGCTGGCTGCCCGTGCACTTCCTTGTCAAATGCCTGGCTTGTCGCTTTTCCCAGTGTCTGGTCTGCTTTGGCATTAGAGAAGGCAGAAAGGGCCCCTTTGGCTCTCAGATGGCTCCTGCCCATCTGCCCACCTGGCTTCCGTTCCCACATTCAGTTTGCCTGCAGTAGGATGGACAGAACATAATGGCTTGGCTGTCCCCCAAGAGGCAGAATGAGTGTGTTGTGAATGAGACCTCATCTGTGACCTCAGCCCTTGAACCCTGCTTCCCTTCCCCTTCCACCCCACCCCCGAGTTTAGGGCCTCCTTCCTTGGGTCAGCTTGGTCTGTCTCACTCTCAGTCTGCATTTGCCTTGGGAAAGTTAGCTTGTCACATTTATTTTATTTTTTAAAGGCGAAAGATAAGTAAGCGTGTTGAGGAAGGCCTGCTTTTGGGGTTGTACTTTCTCCCTGCTGCCCCCATGGCCTCCCCTGTTCCCAGAGGCCTAGAGAAGGTTGCAGAGATTCACATGGCAAAGCCTGTTCCTGCTGGGCCCAACCCTGAATTGGCAATCCCGGGGGCCGCCCGAAAGATCTCCATGCTACCTCTCGACTCCCTCCATATGTGGTGGCACTTAGGGACCTAGCCTCTCCCCGCCCCCCTGACAGGGCTGAATCATTTTTATTCTGATAATAACTGTGCAAGGCAATGATTTGTGAATTTTTTTTTTAATAATAAAACGATCTGGTGAGTAGAGATCTGGTTAGCACTCACGCGCCTAGTGAGCTGGGGCAGGATCTTTGCTGCTGGCTTCGTGTCCCTTTAAGAACTGGACATGGATGTGAGTGCTGCCCCTCCTCCGGGTTCTCCCCAGACGGGTGTCAGGTTAAGGCGTTTGTCATGTTCACCATTTGGCAACTTTGAATTCTAAGAACCTGCGCACATGCCTTAGTGGGAATCTTTCCTCTTCAGCAATTTGACCTGAGGACCCCACTGAGGCATGGGTGGCACTCTTTCCTGGTCTCTCCCCAAAGACTCAGCTGCTGACACATTTTGGTTGGATGGAGAGAGTGAAGGAAGGAGGAAGAATGGGAGAGAAGAGAAAGGACTTGCTTCTTTTTTGAGCTCACTGGCATCTTGAAAAGATTTGGACAGTTGGGTTTCTGAGCCCTTGAAAAACTCATGGTTTCTGTTGAAGAAGGCTCAAGATTTGTAGCATGTCGGGCGTTGAAATGTGTGGGAATTCAGGATAGGGAGTAAAGGGGTAAGTGAGGGTTACTTAGTCTGTGGACTCCTTCCTATCATTATGAAGGCCTAGTCACCTAGCCATCTATCCATTCATCCACTTACCCACTCATCTACCCATCTACCCATCCATTTACCCATCAATCCATCCTTCCACCTACCCATCTACGCATTCATCTATCCCTTATCCATCTGTCCACCCTTCCATCCACTCACAGAATCACAGACTCAAAGTAGACCTTAGTGGTCATTTAGCCCAACCCATACCCAAAAGGAATCTCCACTGTAAATACCTGACATGTAGTATATCTTCCATTAACAATCCCAACAAGCATTTATTAAATGCCTACTGTGTGCAAGGCACTGTGCTAGGCAGCAGGGATACAAAGACAAAAAAAAATCCATCTCTCCATTTGTCCATCCAACCATGTATCTACTCACTCACCCAATTGTACATCCAGCTATCCATCCATTTGTTCACCTGGCTCACTCACCTACCTACTCATCCATCCATCCATCCATCCATCCATCCATCCATCCATCCATCCAGAAGTCCATTCATCCATGATCCACCCAGACATCTACCCATTCATTCCCTTTCCAATTCTCTTTTCCAAAGCTCTCATTTCTTTTCCAATTTTTCCTCAAGCACTCTCATTCCATTTATAAAAATATATTTTTAAGACCTCTGCTTTAAACGCTTGCTTCAGCTCTTGCAGGAATTCTAGTTTGTGCCCAAGCTGTGTTTTCCTCTCTGAGCCTTTACTTGTAGACGTTTTGGAGTCCCTCTCCTCTTCTGCATTTATGTCTTGAGTATTCCTGCCACCGTAATAGCTCATTATGGTGGGATTCTTTTTTTTGTTTGCCCTTTCTTTCAGCTTTCTTCCTGATTTTGGGACCTGATATAGGGCTGGGCTGTGCTGCACTTTTACCCATTCATCCACCAATCCAATCTCCTATTCACTCATTTGTCTGTCCATCCTACCCATCCATTCATCTATTCATTTATCTGTCCCATCTATTCTCCATTCATATGAACGCTCACCCATCCCTCTACTAATCCATCCAAGATGTCTCTACTCACCCATCTATCTTTCCATTGACCCATTCACTCATCTATTCATTGATCCACCCACACATCCATCTACCCACCCATCCATCTTGTCACCTCTGACTGACCCTTCATCCAGCCATCCCTATGCCCACACACTCAGCCATCCTCCGAAACAAAAGCACGGTCTGTGGGGAGTTTTGGCTAAGCCCATGGTGTCAGTTGTCCCATTGGGGAGGGGATTCTGGTTCCTTAATTTCTCTTGTGAATATAAAGTTTGAGGGACTTTGACCTCCCAGGAAACATACAAAGGAGAGAAGCAACAGATAAAGCCAGGAAAGTGTGTGGTCCTATCCCTTGTTTGGAGTAGCCTGTGTGTATACTCGGCCCTAGGGGATAGGATGGCTGGGCCAGGGGAGATTCCAGGCAGCTGCTTGAGCTAATGAGAGGCCTTAATTTTGATTTCAGTTGAAAATATGTGTTTGTATTTCTCAGTGATAGATGTCAGTTGTTTCCATAGAGGTATGAGATGCTGTTGGGTTGCAGTGGAGAGATGGGTGTGCTATCCTCGGGGGGTAGAGGAGAACCTTGACCTGGGTTGACCAGAAAGAACAACTCATGAGGCCTTTCCTTGGAGACTCTGAAGCAGTGATCTTTGAGGTCACTGCATGGAGAGAAATGGCTGTTCTTCTGGGTTCTCCAAGGTCCTTTCTGACAACTGCTGACCACAGAGGCCAATGGCAACCCACGTCTCTAGGAATGTTGTCCCAGCAGACAAGTGGATGTCGGTGCATATAGAGATATCCTGATACTCATCCATTTTCTCAGACCCATCCTTCCATGATGTTGGACAGCTACTTATATTTTTAAGAAGTATTACTGATAAGCTGTTTCTCTTGCCAAAATTCTGCTGAAGAACTAGCATCTGACATGTTTAAACATCCCTTCCTCTGTATGGCAAAGACCTTTTTCCCCTTTCCCCACCTCTTTCTGTAGTTCCTTAATCCCCTGGTGAATCTGCCTGGCTCTTTCCTGTGACTCTAGGGCCTCTCAGCTCCCGATGCCTTGGAGGGATCCTGACTTGGCCTGGGGGCAGCAGCAGGAGGGTCAGAGAGGGCTGAGGAGCATCATAGAGATGACTTGAGCAAAAAGAACCTTGATGTTTCCCTGTGAATTAGTGAGTTGGTGCTTCTGTGCCGTAGTCCCAGGTCGGCCATCACGCTGGCTGGTGCCGGCGGTGGCGGTGGGCCCTGCCTGTCTGTCCTTGTCAATCCCTGTGTGTCTGTGCTCTTTCACTGGCCGCTTACTGGCCGTATGTGAAGACTTGAGTCAAATATTTCTTCTTTGATTGTCTAATTCCGATTTCTTTCTGGTGAGCTGATTCTATGTTACTATTTGGTCTTCACACCCATCCTTCTCTAATAGGGACGAGCTTCTTGTTGCCCGAGTTTCCTGAGAATTGGAGAGCGTCATGTTTTGCAGAAGGATCTTTGTAATCTGATCAGCCTGTAACAAGCCAATTTCTTTGTCTATTAGGCTCTTTATTCTGATTGAGTCAGGGAGGCAGAGAACATTAGAGATGGAGGGGATCATAGAGCTCATCTAGTCTGCCCCCCCCACCATTTTACAGAGGAGGAAACTGAGGCCCAGAGAGGTTAAATACCTTGTCCAAGGATATTACAACAAGTTGGTGGCAGAGTCAGGGATTTGAAGCTGGGTCTTCTGACCCCACGTCCAGGGCTCTACGACACCAGGCTGCCTAGCAGATGGCGCTGAAGCTCTTGGCGGAGGTGTAGACAAGAGGTCCACAGTGCAGCCGGCCAGACTGGGCCTGTACAGCATCATAACACTCTGTTCAGCAGGTGGCTTGGCGATGCACACGTGTTGCGCCTTCGAGATCGTCATTGGTCATTGAGGGAGAGGCTGCCGCCAGGCTGAGCAAGCACAGGCTCTTTGGCTATTCGCCCTTGGGACTGGTGTGCTCTGTGTTCAGGACCCTGAGGATAGAAGGGAAAGGGGTTTGGGTTCTCAGAGTGACGAGCCTGTGACCTGAGAGGCCAAGTGAAGTGGGTAGTTCCTCTGTCATCCATCTTCAGGTGGCATGCTTAGGCATGGTGCTAAGGTCCCTGTCACCTCTGTGTCCCATTTCTTATTCATCTAGGCAGAATTCTTCTCTGGATCCCAGATAGTCAAGTGGGGCTGATTTCCCCAGAAGTGAAGGCATGGGACTGAAGGCTGAGTGGGTAAACATTGGCAGATGGCAAATGACACTGGCAGAGGGAGCTTGCTGGCACTCCATCATGTTTGGCTGGTGTTGCTTTGAGGTGCCCGCCATGCGCTGGCAGTGCTCCTGGTTTAGCACAGCAGGCAGAATTTCTAGAAAGACAATATGTGTGTATGTGTGTGTGCGTGTATGTGCACGTGTGTTTGTATGTGTGCGTGCGTGTGTGCGTGTGTGTGTGCTCCCTGCTCACTCACCAAAATGATTTTAGGCTTGGCAGTGGGAGGGTTTGTCTCCCCACCAGCACAGATCACTGCCCCTCCAGGCCT